TGGGAGCCAAAATCTAGGTCTATGTGTGGGTGTTGGGGTGGGGGTGGGGGTTGGAGATTGGGGAGGAAGGAAGGCTGATGTTTTTTGTGTGTGTATTCTTTTTGAGTTTTGGTTTGTGCTTTATGATGGAAAAATAATAATCCATGGGAGCCAACCCCTAGGTCTATGTGTGGGTGTGGGGTAGGTGTGTGGGTGTGGGTAGGAGATGGTGTATAAAGGGAGAAGAAAAGGGGATCATGATGCATGATGATGGCGGGTCCACGTTTCATCGCGTACTAAAAACGCGATCATTTTATGGGAGTGTGAGTTGTCAAAGAAAAAATAAACAATGAACAAGAAAATCGACACATCTCATGTCTCGAAATGTGCGTAATATGACAGGGTAGTATGAGTTGTCAAGCAACAACTTATTTAATGTACAACACATGTATAGCATAAATCCGGATGGGAAAGTGTACTCCCTCCGTCCGGTAAAGAGTGTATATCTAGTTTCAAAATTTGTTCATAAAAAAGTGTACGTCTATCTTCCCGATGCACTTTAAAGTAAAAAAATAATTCTTTCTCATCACACGGTAATCAAGACCAATAGCAATCTACACATGGTCCTCTTAATTTCTACATGCGCTTAGCTCATTGGGGGTTGGGTAATTAAAGAGGAGAGAGATGGTGGCTTGCACCTTTCCAATACAATTTTTACTTAACTCCATAATTTGTCCTAAAATTCCTGGACGTACATTCTTCACCGGACGGAGGGAGTAGTACACAAAATTAGTTGAAAAACTTCATACTTTTCAAGTATATTAAAAGACACGGTTAGTAGAATATCTTCTTCCTATAGATATATGGTGTGTTCGTATTAAGACATTAATCTCTCTCTCACACACACACACATACTCCCTCGGTCCCAAAATTCTTGTCTTAGATTCATCTAAATACGGATATACCTAATACTAAAACGTGACTTGATACATCCATATTTAAACAAATCTAAGACAAGAATTTTGGGATGAAGGGAGTATAATATAAATATAAATGGAAACCACAATGGGCAAAGTTATTTCAAAAGATTTTGTTACTTTTGGAGCATAATGACAACACACAATTAATATACATTATTAATTATCTCCCAATTATAGATATGTTATGTTTATATTAGGATTTTAATTGTCTCGGGATAGCCATGAACTTGGTGTAGCAGGAATGACCCCAGTTGGTGTCATATGAGCCTAGGAGATCAATCCCCTTGAAGAGTAGAGTCTCAGTCTAGAAGTTATCTGGGTGTCAAAAATGACAGACAGGGTAATCAACTCAAGTGGCTTTGCCTGCCGACCGAGGATGATTGGAAGTTCTTCAGGGTGCCGAAAGTGACAAACGGGGGTAATCTACCGAAGTGGCTTCACCTTCCAACCGGGAATGATACCATGCACCAGTTGATTTGCCTCGAAGTGTGTGATCATTGTCTAAGGGTTTCGATGTAGAGGATGTCCATCCCACTCCCTCCATCCTAGAGCACCTTGGTGAGACGGATGCCGTCGACGAGTGGATCCATGGCCAAAGGGAATCTACCGATGGAAATATGCCCTGGAGGCAATAATAAAATGGTCATTGTTATATTTCCTTAATCATGATAAAGGTTTATTATTCATGCTAGAATTATATTGACCGGAAACTTAAATACATGTGTGGATACATAAACAAATACCGTGTCCCTAGTGAGCCTCTACTAGACTAGCTCGTTGATCAAAGATGGTTAAGGTTTCCTAACCATAGCCATGAGTTGTCATTTGATAATGGGATCACATCATTAGGAGAACGATGGACAAGACCCATCCGTTAGCTTAGCATATGATCGTTCAGTTTATTGTTACTGCTTTCTTAATGTCAAATACATGTTCCTTCGACCATGAGATCATGCAACTCCCGAATACCGGAGGAATACCTTCTGTGCTATCAAACGTCACAACGTAACTGGGTGATCATAAAGATGCTCTACAGGTATCTCCGAAGGTGTCTGTTGAGTTGGCGTGAATCGAGATTGGGATTTGTCACTCCGTGTATCGGGGAGGTATCTCTAGGCCCTCTCGGTAATACACATCACAAGAAGCTTGCAAGCAAAGTGATTAAGAATTTAGTTGCAAGATGATGTATTACGGAACAAGTAAAGAGACTTGCCGGTAACGAGGTTGAACCAGGTATAGAGATACCGACGATCGATCTCGGGCAAGTAACATATCGACAGACAAAGGGAATTACATATGTTGTCATAAAGGTTCAACCGATAAAAGATCTTCATGGAATATGTAGGAATCAATATGGGTATCCAGGTCCCTCGATTTGTTATTGACCGAAGAGGTGTCTCGGTCATGACTACATAATTTTCCCGAACTCGCAGGGTCGCACGCTTAACGTTCGTTGACGCTAGAGTAGTATTGGGATATTTGATGAGTGGTAACCAAATGTTGTTCGGAGTCCTCGATGAGATCCCAGACATCACAAGGAGTCTCGGAATGGTCGAGAGGTAAATTTCTATATATGGGAAGTCATATTTTGGGTTCCGGAAAATGGTGCAGTTTTTTCGGTATTGTACCAGGAAGTTTCTGTCGGATTTCAGGTTCCGGCAGACCCTTGAGGTTCGAACTCTGGGGTGCGCGCGGAGATTTCGCCTCCTACCTACCTGCACCCCTCCGCCTTGCTAGGATCTGAACTATGGAAAGAACAACACAAGAGACGCAGGGTTTATACTGGTTCGGGCCACCGTTGTGGTGTAATACCCTACTCTAGTGTGTGGTGTGGTGGATTGCCTCTTGGGCTGATGATGATGAACAATACAAGGAAGAACAGCCTCGCGAGGGTCTGTTCTTGGCTGGGGCGATGAACTGCTGGGAGGAGCTCAGTCACCTTTCTCTCTCTCTCTCTTTCCGATCTTCTCTATCCTTCCAACCCCCTAGCTCAGCTCAGCCCCCTTTGCTCTGTGGGTGACTGGTCCTATTTATAGAGGCCCTGGTCCTCTTCCCAAATATCGAGCGGGAAGGGAGCCAACAATGGCGGGCTAATTTGAAGGGGGACGGCTAGTATCAGCTATCCTGACAAAAGTAGTCTTCGCCCGCGCAAAGCTCTGGTGATGACGCCGTCTTGGGCTCCACGATGACCTCCGTCTCGTAGTCCTCCTGGTCTTGGTCTCGTTGCACTGAAATGGCAACCTTTGCCTGATGCCTCGGTACTCCGCGGCTTCGCTTGCCCCCCTTGCACCAAAGAGGAAGGGAGGACACTGCGCGGGCTGGCACCCGCCTGGCGCCCCCAGTCGTCATGGCTTGCGTCACGGGCACCTCGTGAGGTACCCCGTCTTGATCTCTCCGCCTCCTCGTGAGCCAGCTTGACGAGGCCATGCCTGAGGAAGCTCTGCGTCGTCTGCCCGCGAGGCTTGGCCCCTCGCGAGGGTCTTGGGTTTGTGTTGGTGAAGATGGGCCGCGCTGGGCCCCCCTTTGAGCCTCGCCGCAGGACGTAGGCAGGCAAGTCTGGGGACCCCCGTTCCCAGAACGCCGACAGTAGCCCCCGGGCCCAAGGCGCGCTCGGACTTGGCCGTGCAGGGAGGCGGAAGGGCAAGAGCGAAGCGCCGCGGGCCCTAATAGCCTGCGGCCTTGGGCGTCGCGTGGCGGTTGATTGGACGTGGGTGGCACTGTTCCCCCACGCCCTCCTTATTTTGCGCCATGCTAGGCGGACCCGTAGTCGTACACAACCGTTCCCCTATTTGGTTGCTCGAGCGCCCTCTGTCCTTCCTCCGCTCGAACTCTGGTTTCTGTTTTCAACTCAATCTTGAACCTCTCCCCCTTCCCATCGCCATGGCTCCGACGAAGAAGGGAAGAGGGGAGAACCCCGTGTCTCCGCCTTGCCCGCCACCGTTGGCGGCCCCCGCC